TTAAAAAAATACGATACATAATGTAAAAAATAATAAAAAAATAATAATAATAATAATATATGTTTTCTGCCACCAAAAATGAAATCATGATGTTTAATATGGTCACAGTAATTTTGGATTTTATCTTTGTTTAGACTTTATCTTCAATCTCTAAAAAAGCTAAAGTGACATGTAAGATTTAAGATAAGATTGACTTTTTTTTATTTTTTTTATTATTTTATTTAATGTAAATGTCAGGATTATATGGACAGATGACAGTATGCACTACATTTTACATTTTTAAATTCATAGGTTTATGTATCGTTAATAATATTGTTATTTATCATTATTACATTATCACCTTCTTGATAAAGTGAGAGTTACTGAAGCCACATAAGGAAATACATGAGTGCTCACTTCAGCAATCTACCACTAGGTGGTGCAATGTGATAGATAAAGACAAAACTTGTGTGCTCAGCAGTCCTACAACCTACAATAATATAGGTTAATAATGATAAAAGTTGTAACATGTGCCTCACAATCTTTGAACAAATTCAGTGTATGATTAACTCTAAAATAGTCCACACCACAGTGCCCCCATGCAAAAAACAACAACAAAGAAATGTGATAAAATGCTCGGTAGGGAGGCCTTCCAGTCTATAGCAACACATTGCCATATAACAGTAATTTGATTGATATTTTACTGTAAAATCACAGTTCAATACTGTAATTCTACAGCAACATAGTGCTATACCACAGGCTTTTGAAATGACCGTTTAAAACAAAACAAAGAATGGCTTCACCTCAAGCAGCTGTGTGAAAATGAGCCCTTTTCTTTTTGATACTGCTTTTTGCTGATAATACTTCTTTGCTTAAACTAAAGTAGAAATCTGAATGCAGGACTTTTACATTGTGGTCTTGCAACTTTGACTTAAGTAAAGGATCTGAGTACTTCTTCCACCACTGCTAATGACATTATAATGGCACTGATTTTTCAACAAATGAAGCTCAGTGCGAGTTCAATCAGGGAGACTGTCTTTATGCCTCATTTGTTCTCAGTTCTTTCACTCTTCTTTTTAATTAGCCAGCTACGGTGTTCACTCCTTCAGTTAAACCAATCATACTTAGCCACAGTCTCCTCCAGCCAATCATGTCGTTGCTGTCAAACTTTATATCTGTTCTCCTCTCTGCTGCTGTCAGCGGTCCAGTTCATCATATCCAGTCCATTAGTTCATCAGAAGTCCACTCCTCATCCAGATCTTCAGTCAATCTCTAGACCAGTCTGTCTAGACTCCATTGGGGGGGATTCTTAGACTAATTAGTCCCTCCAGGGAGTTGTGATGTTGCCATTGCAACAATAATTTCAACCAATCCCTGTGAATTCTGTGCAAACTTACAATTCAATCAGTTTTTCTTTCCTGCACAAAACATTGAGCCATACATTCACCAAACTCACTTCCTTTTTAGAAAAAGCAACAGCTGAAATCAGGCATTTTAGACCACAACAATCCCAAATATAGCCCTGAAATCCTGCAGGGACTGAATAATCACCGCTTCACCAACCACTTCAGTGGGGTCTAATTGCCAAAGACTCGTCTTTATTGTGCAAATGTCAATTAAATATATTTGCTTATTCAAAATGAACTCTTTCCTGATTGTAAAGTGAAATTTGGCACACTACAAATTAGAGGTCAGTGGGAAATGTTGAAATATTTTGCATTTTATTAACATTTTATTATAATAACAACAGATTACAATTCATAAAATATCTTCAAATGAAAAAACAAAATCCTTAAAAGTCCATTATTGACCTTGGAAATTGTAGTTGGACAAATCATCTCTTCAAGTCTAATTACGGTAAATATTCCAAGCTTAAAACACATTTTTTAAGGACCATGTGTTGAGGATTAGCATGAACCGGAAAATGTGGCAAGTGAGAATGAGAATTGAATTAAGCTGTAAAACATCCTCATTGCTCATTTACTAGTTGCACATATTAGTAGTGCAGCAATAGGCACCTGATATACCGGGACGGATCATGGCCATGCATGGTTCTCATACAACCCCGGTAGTAGGTGGGACCTGTGAAAACATGGAGAATGACAGGATGGAATATCAGACAACTTCTACAAGTCTTTTTTAGTTTTTTTTTTTTTTAGAAAAAGTACTCTGAATTGGTCGAGCTTATGTATATTTCCCCCCCTTATTGTTTGTTGTGGCTGTAACAGTTGGCCTACAAGGAACAGCGTACACTTACCAGGATGGACAACGATGGCGCAGACACCAAAGCAGACCTCCATCATGCTTGAACAGTACCGCTGGCCTCCACAGTTACATATCAAGGCTTCACCTGGAAAAAGAAAAGAGAAAATCACATTCAACTGTGAATATTGACTGATTACTGACCTTTAGCTATAAAACCTTCTCAAAACAGACATGGGAACACAATCATTTACAAGTCTTTTAGAAGGATATTGTTCCGTTTTGGTCAAATAGACTGCAGGTTTTTTGTGTTTCCTGTGCATAAACTCACCCTGGCTGACAACCAGCAATACCAGAAAAGCAAGAATCACCATCATTCATGTTTTCACAATGTCTCGGTTGCACCAATCTCTGTATGAATAGAGTAAGAGAAATCAAATTGCTGTATTTAGCTGGGAACACATGTAAAGGTATCTGACCTGATAAACTGAGGACATATTTTAACCATTTTTATGAAGTATAAACAAAAGTAACTTTACCCATATAAAAACTATACATGTATTATATTGATTAATGACCTGATTTTACCATTTTAGCCACAACAGTGACAGTAAGTGTTATAATCAGGAATACATTTTTTAGATTTTTTGTAAAATAACAAAATTACTACAAATGGACGACTATACCATGAAATTATACTTTTATTTAAATGTATTTATTTAATTCTTTATCTTCTCCAGGTGTCAGAGTACTGCACAGAGATGGAACGGGACCAGTGTGAACTAATGGACTCGTATTTATACTTTTAAACTACAACTATGTCTACCTTTCTTAGGCTATAAACTTAAATAACCCACTGTATGAAACATTTAAGTCCTATGACATAGCCACCTATCAAACACAAAGCCTGACCTCCTGAATACAGAAACAGGTCATTAAGTCCAGTTTTTCTGAAGCTTTAACACAAAGTTACTTAGCCTAAATTGGAGTTGGATATTAAATTATTAGACATTTAAGCTGGATTTCTGACTGACAAGAGATTCTCTTTTCCAGAAAAAAAGGATCATACATCAAGTGTGACACCACAGTAAAGACACACAGTATATTTCTGCATACTTTATTTTGTCAGCCAAGAAGAAATCATTCAAAAAGAACAAAGTGAATACTCGGAATATTGTATGAGTATCATGAGTTAATGTTTTTTTCCCAGGAGGCATTTATATTTTGTAAATTAATCACAATACTAAATATTTCATGGGACCCACTTTTCATCTAAATATGTATATTTATTCATGTTTAATTTATTAGCACTTATGTCATGTTTATAGAATTGTAAATCATTGAGAAATAATTGTTCAAGCTTTTATTTATTTATTAATTAAGTGTTTTATTGTGGAGAGAGCAATTAAACAGCGCTACCTTTAATGCCTTGTTGAAGGAAAAATAGGACATTTATTCACATCTCCTGGAGGATCTTTAAGAGAGCACAACTGCAGATGTTCAGTGGAATTATAAATCAAAAAGGCTGAACTGACAAAAACATTCAATTGAAAACAATAAACAATCTATGCTGTGTGATGTACATACTCTATTCCCTATATGCAAGATGAAGCATGTGTAATTTCTGTTCCTCTGTATATTTAAACATCCAGCTACTCGGACCTGTCTGCCTTACAAATACAGTATCTGTGTACACAATCAACAGGTTGTCATGTAGAATGCTTACACATTGATTTGAAAACCTTTTCCTTAGGAAAAAGAATAAACAACTTTACCATGCAAGGAGGTAACAGGTATTATCCACTGCAAATTGCTCTGAGGATGTTGGAAAAAATATACAGTATATACTGGAAGCCACAGATGTGGAACTTTTTTTTTTTCTTTAAAAAGACACACTTCAATAAAGCCAAAATAATGCACAAATTACATGCTCTTGCATAGAAATGGTGAAAATTGCGTGGAGTTTGACAAATATGAGAGCCCAGGACTTAAGAGGGGGAAATACAGCACACATTGACAATCTCCAGCTGAGTCTCTTTAAATACTGTCAGAAGTTGCATGTTAGTTAATAACTAGAGTTATTAACTCTGTTGTTAACTAGAGTTATTAACTAGAGTCAGTGAGTCTGCCCCCGAAACATGCACAGTTTAATCTGTGAGGTCCAGACACCACGACTGCTCTGTGCTCTGAGTCTGGACGCCAATGCTGGACCTTCGCGATGATGCGCTTTCACTGTCCCTGCTCTCCATAGAGCCCCCGTTTCCCAGTAGGCACTCCAGACTGGTGTGTTCTATGGCAGATGGGTCGCCCAGTGGAAGGTGGGGGTCCAGAGCTTCTGATCGAGGTGATCCCGAATCCAGGGAGGATCCGCGAGGTTGGCCTGTCAATGTGGGTGGAGAGGCAGACATAGGGTGGATTGAGTCCTCGATTTGGAAGATGGAGGTGTCCTGGTTCAGATTATGAGATGCTGTGGTGGACATAAGAACACAAATGTCCTCAGGGTAAGAACTGGGTGGCGAGTCCAGCAGGCTGTGTGTGGACGTACTTGTAGGGGCACTGGACAAAAGGCAAGAGTATTCATCACTATCGCTGGGAGGCTGCAGGCACAAAGTGGGCTGGGACTGGCTGATGGCGGTTGGGCTAGCACTGAGAGGTCTGATGTCAGAGTCTTCATGTCCAGCATGAGGTGCAAGGCCTGGACTTCCACCCTGGAAGCCTGGGCTGACGTTAAGTAGAGACGAGCTGCTCCACAGATGTGCGGTCACGCTCTCAGAGCCATGACACGGGCCTAACCTGGGTGCAGAGTTTACAGACAGGGTCGGACAGGAGTTAGCAGGTGGACTAGAGGATTGAGGCCGGTGGTGGATCTCTGTCTGGGTTTCAGCAGCTGCACTGTAGCTCCAGTGACCAGCGGGTAGGATGCTTTGGTGGCCGTGGCCTTCATGACTCCCAGGATCGTTGTGGACGTGGTAGGTTGAAGCTAGGTTAAAGGGCATACCAGTGTTGGGGGCTGTAGGAGGGCTTGACACCATTTGGACGCCATATGGGTATGAGGGGAGGGAGGCTTTGTAGTGTTGCACAGATACGTGGGCCTGGAGGAGGTGCATCATGTGGTGCAGGCCCTTGGTGAGCTCAGATACTTCCTGGTTTAATGTGCCCATCTGGGTAGAGAGTGCACACAGTTTAGTCATGACATTTAAAAGACTTGGAGCATATTCTAGTCTGCCTTGCATATTCTATTATTACACTGAACAAACGTTGTACAGCTTAAATAAAAACCAGTTCTGCCCAATTAAGTCCCCAGCACAGAGTGACAAATTAATCAGCTTCTATCTTAAGGTTTAATCTCGGACCTGTGTTCAGATATAATTTTCTGATGACCTCCCAAAGGAGAACCAAACAATTCATAATCCTTTCTGTGACTCTAAGAAATAGCTTCTTATGCAGTACTGAAATCCAGAGGGACAAAGACTGAGGTAACTGACGCAAATAGGCAAGAAAGTAGACAGAAACTGGGAAGAAGGGAGCGAAACAAGAGGCAAAGGGGGCCAGAGAAGGGCCCCAAGTAGAGCAAGGTTGTCATCAAATTTTTTTTTTTTCTTTTGTCGAGTCAGCACTCCCGACTATCCTCTGCATTGCAGAGAGTGCCCTGCTGATTAATTAATATCGACGTCAGACAGTACCTACCTGGGCCCATCTGGATCCTCTCGCTGCACCTGCTTTCGCTCTATTTGCATTCAAATTTATAGTGCAGGGACAGATACATGGCAGAAAGTGAGTCTACTAAGTGGATATTTCTTCCTGTAGATGTACAGCCATGGCTGATTATTGAATGAGAATGCCAGGAATGCATCTATGAAGAAAGCATGTGAATTTCGGTTTATTTAGTTTGTCTGCGCTGAAAACAGGAACTCAATTAATTCTTCCTGTATTTCATATTCAGTCTATCTGAAATACTTAACAGACAGGAGCCAGAGGGAATGATGAAAAGGACACAGAGCCGATTCTACATTATATTTAGTCCAATCTGTCTTAATTTGGGTTGAGGGGCTGTACCTTACCTTTTGGTTGAGTTGACTGATGCTCTGTCTGACCTCCTCCGTCTCCAGCAGCAGAGTGACATTAGCCTGTGTGGAGTCTGGAGAAATGAGGAGGAGAAAACATTAAGTAGCTGATTCAGTAACACACAACTCAGGAACACCACTGAGAGGATTTATCAATATAAATATGAAACAAAATTATGACACCAAATTAATTTACTATGATATACGTCAAAAATATTATGTAAGATACTGAAGAGCTATTGCATTGAATAGTGTGAATATATAATACATAATATTATGTCTATGCTTATGTCTATCTATCTTAAGAAACGGTCTTGACTCGATGATGTTGCTCCAGTATGTTAATCCATAAGAGGGAAGCTTGTGGTGACTTTAAACTGGAGCAATATGACAGTAAACAGACCACATGAGCAACTGTGTGGAATCAATGAAGCACAAACATGAAACGAGATAAGCAAAACACAAGGAATCCTCTAGGAGGTGCTGTAGGATGGCCAGAACAACAAAAAAACTCTTCTTTTTCCATTTAGATTGCTACTGTGTTCTGTGTTGTGCATCTCTGTTGTCAAATCACTCATTATACTAAAGTAAATTAGTAGGACTTCAGCTGAACTGAATTGGATACTCATCCCAGAATAATCGTCAGTGAAAGCTCACGTCAGACGATCTGTTCCCTGCTTTGACCTCTGCAGTCTCTTAACATGTTCTCTGACTCTTCAGACACCTGGCTGTCATTTCACTCCTGTGCGCTCTCATATTTCCCCAGAAGGAGGCAGCGCTGCATTGTTGTAGCCGCTGTTTGAACTCTTGAGTTTACCTCCAGCCATCTGGCACCCAGGTGACTCACGCAGCTGGTGGCGGTTTGGCTTACCTTGGGTGGTGCCTCCTGTACTGGCCTTAGGCCTGCTGTGCTCCACGTTGAAATGGAACGTGTGTCCATTGTCTTCGATGCCGTCTACAACCCTGGCGGGGAGGGGTGAAGAGGAGGGAAGCTGGAGTTAATGTAACAGTAGAGCTTTTTCAATTATCATCGGAGCCAGCAGACAACCCAGGAATGTGCCATGAGAGCTGCTGCTGGCAGAGGCCCATGTGGGTTTGAACATGAGGAGAAGAGCCCAGTCTGGAGGGGCGGACACCTGAGCTCTATGAACCAGCACTTACCCATATCTAGAACTTACTGGATGACTTAGGGATACATTATGAATACAGATGGTTGGGGCAGAAGGATAAGGTGCTGTGGTAATGAAATGCAGTGACATTGTTGAAATATGCAATGCAAATACACTCCATTTACATTAAGTGGATGATGCAGGTTTTTGTAGCATGACTTTAAGTGTCTATTACTGCAGCACCCAAATTACATAATCTCAGACACTCTAAGGCTATCATAACTAGACAGTTGACAAAATGATATGTCTGTCAGACTGAAATGAAAAGAAAGACATGAAGTAGAAGGGGGACTGTTTGACAACGGGCAGATTGGACCATAACAAACACACAGAAAAAGTGGCATGAAGGCCAATGGTAGAGTAGTTTTACAGTGGATACACATTTTAGGTGCTGTGCCAGATGTTGAAGCTACTGTATGATCATTTTGACACACACAATAGTGTGAAGGGACTGCTTCCACTATCAAAAACTACACAGTATTTAATTGGATGGGGGGTCATTCAATTATTTAATTTAGACATTTATCAGGTATTTGATAATAGGTTTCACAATACCTGGGACTAAGATCTGGGGGTCCAAAGCAGGTGACAGTTGGGATAAGCAGCTTTGAAGGCTTTTGCTCAGCCCCTGACTCTCCCTGGGCTGAAGATGTTGAAGCTGGGGTGGCTGTAGGGGTGCTGTGCTCTTTTTTTGACGGTGGCTGAGGGGACGAGCCCTGCCCGTGGAGGCCACGACTGAGGTTTGGTGAACGGCAGCGTCGCAGGGCGTTGAACTGCCGCAGCTCATCCCCCAGCAGGTTTCCCAGGGAGGTACGGCGAACGGGGCTGCTGAAGCTGGGCAGCAGGAGGTTGCGACGGGAGCGGGTCGCTGGAGAGAGGTGGAAGGTGTCATCAGGGTCATCCCCCTTTGTTTCCACGATGGAGGAGAGCCTGGGTTCCTACAACACAGCAAATACAACATGCAGCATTAAAAACTGTACAATTTTCACTAATGAAGGGTGATTTTATGAGTAATCTAGCACATAATAACCTTATTTATTTTAAAAGCTCTTTATGATATTTTAATTACATTACTTTAATCCTGTCGCAAATATTTAACACTCTAACCACAAGCTGCCTGTTTGTGAGTAAAAACAACTGGTTTTACATTAAATTCAACTTTTAATATCAGACCAAGCGAGCACTGTAAACAGTATTTAATAGTAGAAAAATAAGGTGGGCCATACAGGATACAGTACATAGTGAGACATAAGGTTTCCCATTAGGAGAGCTACTGACCCAGTTAGCGAGCTAACTCTGGGGACTGAGCTGCTCTTTCTGTTCCAAATGAGTTTCGACCTGTAGGGGAAGTCCTTGCACAAACCCTCCCTTGGTACTCACTAGCAATACAGTATGTCCCAGAAAAATACGGGGGTTTTACCTTGAAAAATCAGACACAAGCCTGCTAAAAACCAGGAATTGATATGAATGATACAAATAAACACCCCTCACAGCAACTGTGTTGTGGCCCTGCCTGCTCTAATAACATTCAAAAACAGACTTTTATTATAACTTACAAGAATGTTAAAGAAAATGAATAATACCACTGAAAGAAGGAGGCTGAACTGAACTCACGTGAGAAAGCCTGGGGGACCTTGAGAACCTGCTGTGGCCCTGCAGGAACAAAAACAAGCATCGAGGATTACAAAAGACACAGCCTCATGTATTTATTCAACTTTATATCCTCCTTATTACACCTTTGGAAATTAGAAGTGCCCTGTGAAGTTTTCCTGTAAGCAAACAATTATGTGAACATTCAGTGTTACTCACCCGAATGCATCGAGTGTATCCATGAGGACTAACAAACGTATTAAGTGCATTTACTTCCTCACATAACATTTGCAAAGCCAATTTTCCTTTCCTTGCTCCATAGAGGTCAAAACCTCCACAGGGAACCTTTAATTCATTTCATTTCTGGCTTTGCATTTACAAAACTGTGCAAAATTCTAATTTGTTATTCACTCTTCTATCCACATGAACTCTTTCCCCTTTTGCTTCTATTCTAAATGACCTTGGCGAGTAATAAAGTATTTTTTAAAGTCCTTTTTCTACACTTGATTGCAGAGAGATTCCAGCAAAAGTTTGTCTTTCTGCTGTTGTGTGAATAGCAATTTGCCATAATCTCCAGCTGGATGGCAAATAAAACTGTGGTAGTGTGAAGTCTTCCCTCATGTGTGAAAAATGTGCTCCTGACAACATGGCTTAATGTGACAATGCAAGCCACAGTCTGTCACATACCGGTATAGTGCCAGTAATGATTTTTGACACATGAAGCCAATTCACTGAGACTACACATTAAATTTAATCCTTCATTGAAGCACAATACGATGAGTTTAAAAATCATCCCCACTAAAAGGCAATTGAGGCAAAAATATAACCCTAGCTGTGAAGATGTGGGAGTCTATTCAAGAGACAAATCCTCCTCATAAGGAAAACTAACCCTGGAGCAACATGGAATGATTAACTAGCCGGTGAGAAATATTGGTGCCAAATGACGTTAATTGAACATCAGTATCAATTAATGGGGCACTGATGCCACAAGTGTCCCACATAGTAAAGTGGGTTTGGAGAGACTGAACTGAGAGACCTTTTTCTTTCACTCACTAGTGTGCTATCTTGTGTGTGCACATGTTTGCCTTTTTACAAGAACATACGTTTCTTACAAGGTCATTGTAGTCACTTGAGTCACAAATGAGAAGTGTTTTGTATATGTTAGTAGTGAGTATTAGAGCCCGACAGATATGGGTTGTTTGAGACCAAAGACAGTTTTAGAGGAAAAAAAATCACAGATTTCCGAAATGGTGGCTGATACAGTGAATTTTCGAGCTGAAATGAAAATAGACTGCACTGATACGACTATGCAAAGCTACCCAGAAGGCTGCTTTAAGTGAAATATTTTTAACATGTTAAATAATTAACATATAGTATACGTATACATTGTCAACCAATTCTATAAAGGAACACTAAAAAATTAAAGCATCAGTACTGTACAAACTATAAGACTATTTGCATTATACCCTGACCAACCATAACATTATGATCACTGACAGGTGAAGTGAATAACACTGATTATCTGGTTATCATGACACGTGTCAGCGGGTGGGATATATTAGGCAGCAAATTAACATTTTGTCCTCAAAGTTGATGTCTTAGAAACAGGAAAAATGGGCAATGTGAGGATTTAGGCTGACCAATATACAGGCAGGACTCTATATAGCATGTTTGGTTTTTTGTATAAAATGCACTTGTCTTTTGAATAATCAGCAAACTATGGGGGATGTTTACGTGATGACATGACTTGTGGCCTCACAAAACCCCAAAACCATATGAACAACCTCCTAAAACCAAGTGTTATAGGTAGAAAAATAAGTGTAGTTGAGCAAATGTATTTAGAAAGTGATGCTGGTGAATAATCTGGGAGAAAGCCCACCTGGAACAGTAGATGTGACATTTTTTTGTCATCTATTTTCTGTTCTCCTTCAGCCCACTCCTGGTTGGTATTGTTATCCCATCCAACATGTCAAAAACACACTGAGCTCATCCTGTCTCTGGCTTTTTGTTTTTGTGCACTCCCACCACTGGTTACCAGTGGCTGCCTTCATCAACTTTGTTCAACTGTTGTCATACGAGGCTCCGAAGGGGGTTTCATTCCAATAACTCCTGACCGACCAGCTTGTTCTTCACACTCCATGACTACTGACTACTTAACTCTCCCTGTGGCGACATGGTCATTATAGTCCAACATATTTGGACTCAGTGCTGGCTCCCTGGTGGTGGAATGACCTTCCCACCCTGCCCAGGAAAGTACAGTCTCTCTTTATCTCTCGAAACTCACCTACCTTAACAACTAAGCCATGCTCCTAACAGGTCTTTGCACGAGTGCATACAACATCATTCAACCTGACCTTAATTTTGCAATAACAGATTGTTGACCACTTGGGAGCAGCAGAAACAAGTGATGTTAACACAACATTGACATATCATTATTTTGGAATAAAATATATGGAACTTGTTAGCAAACAGGTATTTAAACATCCAGCAGTCACAGAGCAACATTAGCATTTATCTTGGTCTTTACCAATCCCTGATGGAAATACCTGACTCTTTAGCTGCTAAATGCTCAACTATGTTCACCAGCCAGGTGCTAACTGTGTTTGTCTGATGTTTGGTGCTGGTGCCAGTGGTAGTGATGTTCAGTGGGTTCCTAGTGCGTTTTCACTGGAAACAGCTGCATGCTGCGGCCTAAAAAACAGCTCACTGTAAAGCTCCATGAAGCAGAGGGATTCAGCTGATAATTCATAATAAATAGATAATGTCATTATAAATTATAGCTGCTTTAAAAAACAATTCCAATGTGTAGTGTTTCTTGCATTATTAGAAGGTTTTCAACTTATTTGAGTTGCTCCAAATAAGACACTCAGCTACAATCATAAAGATAAAGGGTTCTTCAATATTACAATGTCAAAAAAACTACTTTTTTGTCTCTGTTTGTGTGTTTACAAAAACAAAGCATTACAACGTGTATCTTCTCTCTCAAAACTTATTAAAAAGAATTTAAATGACACCACTGCAATACAAGTTTAAATTGAATTATAGAGTTGACAACAAAAAATCCTCATTTTCCATCTGGCAGTCTGGGATTTTTCCTTTTAGACAAGATAAATTAGTCCCATTTGGATACCTTATACTGTAACAGGCATTCCCACAATCTGTTTCTTTGGCAGTATTTTAACCGACTGATTGCTGTAGAGTCAGCATAATTCTCTAAGTATCTCTCATGTGTAAATGGACCTCCAATCATACACCAACTCCCACCTCAAACCACCCACTGTGAGGATGTAGATAAGACCAGTACGACTGTATGGGTTGTGTGTGTGTGTGTGTGAGAGAGAGAGTGTCAGGAGTCTGTGGGACCTAGCAGCTCGGCCAGGTAGCTGAGCACTCCTTCATCCTGTCAGGGGGGAGCCAGTGCTCCGGCTTTGTGCTTGAGCATAAACTCTGAACAGATGGTGTGAGAGAAGTAGTAAGCAAGTACTTGTGATCAGCCACACCCCAGAGACAACTTGTTTCAGAATTAAAGACTGTAGCAACTCTTTTAATGTAAGTATGTATATGGCTATATTTATATTAAAATTCTTTGTTTACAGACACAATCACAATAGTTAACTTAGCTTTTAGGGTTTCATTAAGGAGCCAAATTTGATCTATGATTCTGTTTTTGAATCCCTCATTAATACAGTTGAAGCCGTTTTCCCGCAGCATGACTGACAAAAAGACATCCGGTAATTAACACGGCCAGCACAGATGTCCTGTCCTTCATGTTCCAAACCAAACGAACCGAACTAATGAGCAACCAAAACCTTCAAACAATAGGAGAGGCCTGTGGGAACCAAGTAGAATGCTTGAAGCAAGTACAAAATGTTTGAGACTGACAATAAGGATGAGATTGGGAAAGTCCTTGGGGAGCTTTGTCAGTTTTGTCAGTCACACATCAAAGACATCTTGGCATTAATTTGTTTTGATCATACGGTTCAACACAATGCCATGCTAAACAGCCATTGAACTTGTGTTGCACTGTTTCTGTAATTCATTAAATTAATCAATTGTAGGTTTCAAGGTGCATCTTCAAACAGATTTTATAACTTGAAAAACATGCCTATATGTGTAACATCAACAGGTGCATTTTCCCCACAGATGGAGGATTGTCTTGCCTTACGTAATGCTTTCTTAAATAACTGTTAGGGGTAACAGGCAGCACTGAGAGAGGAGGTCAGTGTCTGGGTGTAATGTCATCCTGCTGTGCTTTGGGGTGGCAACAGGCAAGCGATACGGCTGCCTGACAGTGGCACCCACGCATGGTAATTGGTGTGACAATCAAGCCACCAACAGCCCTTTGGTCACTGTGATAGAACAAGTGTCAAGGAGAGTGACAAAGGCACCTTAGGGGGCACAAATGTGTTATCTGCTCTATTCCACGGTCAGACAAATGTAGGGGGAAACAGTGAGGTTCTTCTGAGATGCAACGTAAAATGGAACTACAACACATACATCTATTGATGTCAAACGACACAACAACAATGTTAAAACAATCAGATATCTGGGTCCACTTTAGGGAGTAAACAGGATCAACAGATACATGTATAATAAGAGAAGATTTTAAAGGACCAGTGTGTAAAATTAGCTTTGACTATTTCTTGACTCTTTTGCACCAAAGTTTAACATCATAGAGGTTAATATCCATTGCAGAAGTGGAAAAAAAATTCTAGCTTCTCCACTAATAACAGCCCCATTTGGCTAGAAAGCATCAACACTACTTTCTTCATCATTTTATCCTTATTTACTGAGTAAGACAGTGGGTGGAGGGTTTGTGGGTTGGTAGGCTCAGTTTTAAGCATACTGAATCAAAGTTTTTGTAAAGTATATAACATTTTAAATAGATGACTGTGAAAAAAGGAACCATAACCAATGCCAACGTTTTTGGTATGCAAGTGTATATATTTAGTACCTCGTCCTGACTGCCCTCCCGCAGGTTGTAGGTGAGGTTGTTGTGGATGTCGGAGGTGAACACACTGGCGTACTCAGGGTAGAGTCCCAGCACTTCTCCCAGGCCTCGCACACTGATATACTGGAGGTCACAGTAGGTCAGCGCCTTCACATCGGCATTGGTCTTGATCACCTGGTCTGTTATAGGCAGATCAGACCCAATCAGGTCCCCTTTTCCTGAAATCAAAACAATATACCTGAACTTTCTAGCTCCCTATTGTGCTAAATTAAAACCTTAAATATGATGCTAAAAGTCCACACAAACCTAATATTGCCAGCACCATGCAGTCTTTCAGCACCTCCAGAGACCCGGAGCAGACGAAGTAGTTGGCATGCAGCACATCGCCTTGACGGATGAGGTACTCCCCATGGACACAGAAGTAGCTTTGTATATGGAGGGAGAGCAAGCGCAGGCAGCAACGACTGGCCCCCTTAAAGACCGGCAGCTGGAGATGTCCTTATCTCAGATGCATGGCGATGTCGCGCGCCAGCTCGTCAGGGAAGTCGTGTAGGAGCTGGGGGATGTGTGACAGATGTAATGAGGTGTGACACTGATTGGTAATTAGGGAATGGACTGTGTCGCCACCAGTAACCCTCTTTTGAATTTCAAGATGTCAATTGCTGGTGTTCAGGCGGCCAAGTGTTGTGAACGATCATAAACAACTACAGCTGCAAAGGGTTGTGAGTGGATCGTAGAACAGATTTTAAATGTTATCTAAACATTGCACTGAAGTTTACTGAGGGCAGACACCATCATTACAAAAGTATTAAGTGACAACAATAATGAAAGGGACCCCTACCTCGTTAGCATCTATACCATTGTTGACAGACCATGTGGTCTGGAAGTACTCCAGCATAACGTTGTTTTGAGCTGCTGGGAGAGACGGTTGACACGGATGAAGTCCTTCAGGTCCTTCATGCGTGTGTGGTACATAGAACGTCGTGAGTACAGACGCTGGATGATGGCCGTCACGTTACCGAAGACCAGGGCGTACATTAGCGCTGTGTGAGACGCAACCAAACAGCATGGAAGACAGTAAATTATAGTTTATAGCCTGAATATTTGGTAAAAATAATACAGTCTGGCATTTCATTCTAAAGGCTGTTTCTTTCAGCCACAAATTGAATGGGTTAACCTGTAACAAAATAAAAATGTACTTTTCTTCTCCTTCCACTGCTTTAAAATAATAATTCTATATTGTTACACTTGTTACTGATACTTTACTTATTGATCCACACAGGGGCAATAGTCATTTACCGATCCTGTTCTGACTAGCAGTCTGAAAAGAAATATATAAACACAATAATTATCTTCTGGGTTGTTGAACCAATAATTGCCACCTCAGCTTAAATAATCTGTTTAATGGTTCATAAAGATGTCAACAAGCTACGGCGTGTCGAAGAGAGGCACTGTTATGCCAGGACACCAGAGGGAGAATGTACCCTGGTGTCAGACATACCGCCAACGAGCATGGCGCAGATGGAGAAGATCTTCTCAGCATCGGTGTTGGCGCAGACATTGCCAAAGCCCACACTGGTCAGGCTGCTGAGGGTAAAGTAAAGGGCAGCGATGTAGGAGCTGTATACTGTCGGGCCGCCCATCGTGCTGTTGATGTAGGGCTTCTCCAGACGTTTGCCCAGCTCATGGAGCCACCCTTGAATGAGAAGGCATGAGAGAGAGCATGAGAGAAAAATGTCATAAAGATTTAGTTAACTATGTTATATATATATATACACAGTATATACTGACTGGAAATGATGCACACACACACACACACACATTGCACAGCAGACTGGACCAGGTGTTTAATTGTTCTTTATATCACAGTCAGTTCTTGATTATGGGTTTTTATTGTTCTCCATGTCAAATTGTTTATATCGGCTTTTGATCTGGTTGCAGACAGTCCTCATTAGAGTGCCAGAGTATGGTGTTTGCCAGCATCTCACCACTGAGCTAGACATCCCAATAGGTGAGACATAAGTATTTAAAGCTGAGTGGGGACACAACAAATGTCTACTCACTGTGTTGGCAAAACCTAGTCTATGGTCTTATTTGTTGGAATATTTGCCTTTTTAAAAAGGAACCAACTGACTTACACATCACCTATGGAAACTGAATCAAATCTATATAGTCAGCACTGTGCTTAAGTTATGAAATGAGCAGTTAAATAAAATATTAGATTTATGATGGCACATGGTAAAAATCAGTTTTAACTATTACTCCATGTATCCTTTACACTGACAAGAAATAATATGTTCTCGCTCTTGCTAGACGAAACACACGCCCTGACCTTCATACTTCAGCAGCTTCAGCAACGCTTGATCAAAATCAGACTCACCAATGTTCGTGGTCTCATAGTACGTTATCTCCATGATTCCAATCATATACCAGATGCAGGCCATCCAGTGTGCCAGCAGGGCAAACGCAGACATTAGTAAGGTCAGCACCATGGTGCTGTACTGGGAGTAGCGATCCAACTTCTGAAGAAGACGAAGGAGGCGCAGCAGGCGTACAGTCTTGAACAGTTGGATCAAGGGGTTCTGAAGAGGAAAAACAAATATTGGGGGCATATTGATGGGGAAAAGGAGTGAGAAAGCGAATCCCTCTGCTTTGTTATATCTGGAAACTTTGGCTGTACATATACTGAATATACATAGCTGAATATAACAGCTTGGACAAGCAGCGACAGATTTTCGCATCCCAAACAAACTCATTCCTGGTATGACGCATAATTCACTAACTTGACTGAGAGCGCACGTCCCGTCACACCAGGCAGGCAGGAAGTGGCAACGGCTGCAATTTACTGTATTTCTAAAGGTTGTACATTTAATGCAAACTGCTGTGTATTATGAATAGTTATCTAACTGCCTATGTCAGCAGTCATGGATGGCAGGGCAATGAATAAAAAGAAGGCTGGACATGTTATTGGCCAGTTGTACTCACCACTGTGATGTTGAAGGTATACAGTAGGTCAAAGGGCAGAGCGGCCACCAGGTCCACAAAGAACCAGGTGGTGGCGTAGTGAACGCAAATGGAGTGCGAGTCACACACCACCTGCCCTGAGTGGCTCACAAAGGTGGTGCAGAAGTTCAGGATAATGTCTGCAAATACAAAGGTTGAAGGGTAATTCTTTTTCTCGAGTAAGCCTGAAGTAAGGTGGTATAGTCATTTCATAGTTGCATTTAAGCTGACTGAGTTAGAAAATGAAACTGATTTGTATGCAGTGAGGAAAGAAGTGTCACCAGTGGCTCACCTGTATGTGATGTACACAGCTGGAATATGTCATTGTTTTAAGGCATCCATATGGATCAGTGAGTTTGTTAGACAAATCATCTAACCCTAGTGTCAGACTGTTGCTAGCACATAACAGGCAGACCTCTGGGTGTGTGTCTGATGAAGCAAAACCTCATCTGTCATCCAAGCTGTCAATATTTGCAGAGATAATGAAATGATGAATTTCAGTTAGGAGAAGTTAACAGAAGCTAAGATGATAATAATGATGGTGGCAAAAGTGTATTTCCAAATTTGAGAAAGCGCACATAGCAATGTGCAAAGCAGTGTTAGCTGTAAAAATCATCAAAATTAAAAATGTTGGACACCTCCTCTCCAATATATCAAATTCCCTGAATGGTTTTTTGCTAGCATGTCTTATTTTGAGATGAGCCACCACAGTTCATCCCTTGGGTGCTTCCCTTTTGAGGTTAACCAGGCATTACCACCTGGGTGGAGTCCCTGCAGAGACACAAGACATCTTGAAGGGACCACAAGAGGTTGCCTGTAACTGGGGGAACTTTCTGGGAAAAAGAACGCCTGGGTTGCTCTTGTTGCCCTGTTGCCATAGGTGGCAAGAGTGGTAAGAAAGTGGACAGATGTTGGATAAAAATCTCATGTCACAGCATAGAAAATGTAATGAATGCATGACTATTATTATGAGCCTCAAAATCAGTGGATAGAATTGGCTTGATGATGGTCATAACTAGTAATTAGTTGAGCAAAGTAACTTGTTTTAACCCTCACCTATAATAAAGAGCATTTCCACTACAATGTCGCTGACGATGGTGGAGCGTGCAGCTGTGACGGTGTCATCGTACGGCGTGAAGCTGACGTTGTAGGGCACGGTGACAGCCAGATAGAAGGTGGCCAGCAGAGTGAGCCAGTCCCACAGGGCTTTGGACACGCTGTAGTGGAGCAGAATGAAGCGCGACTTCTGCACTGCTGCCACCTTGTACTCCGGTATCACGGGCTTCTCAATGATACTCTGTAAGAGAACAGGTAGACTAAGTGTCGATCACATGCTTAAAGCCTTACGTTGATAAATATACAAAACACAAGCTGCATAAATGAATAACTTGATAACCAGATGGTCACGAGGTGGAGTGCTGTGAAAATAAATGATAATCAGATCAGTCATTGCAGTGCCAAGATTTTGCAGAAACAGACAATGTAAATGTCAACACCCTCTCTAGTGCTCTGACCGCTGATGATTCAGCATGGCAGGCAACTCAAGTGAAACAGATATGCTAATGCTGCTGGTTATCGGTTCTTGACAGCCTCCTATAGACAGTGATAAACCTTTTAAATGGCCATGCATTAACAATAAAAAATGACAGAAATAGGTCTGTGGTCAGTGAGGGGGAAACTTATAACCAACAATGATCCCTGATAATTTCATACATGACTTAGCCTTGGCTTGACTTCATCCCTCTAAATGCCATTAGTGCTTTAAGTCTCAGGTGGTACAGTACATTGGCAGTTGAGCTATTATAAGGAAATGAGGGGAACTAGAACTGCTTTTATTTTTGAAAGTCACTTATTCATTCCACTCATTTATTTTTTTATTGAGAAAATCCAATTGCAGAAAGTATGAATTGCTATTGCTGATGAGGTGGGGAGTCCATTTCGGCACATAATGAGACTGCAGCTCTCCAAATGGGGCCATGCACTTGGCACATAATAGCCTTAACCATGTTTAGGAGACAGGAGGAGAAGCTATTATCTTTGACAGTGGTGAGAGGGAAACAGAAAGGGGTGATAAATGAGCAGTAATCCATCCGAGAACAATGTGGCTACTTCACAAACAGGTGTGGGCAAGCAACAAGGAGGCTGGTTAATGAAGTCTTAACGTGAGATTTCCTTGTAAGGGCTCTGAGTCCAAAGCTGCCTGGTTGACTTGAAGAGAATAGACTGACTATTTGAAAGTAATTGGGAGACAATTGACAACCTTTTCCGAAAGAAGAGAAATGCCAGAGCAGAATGACCCACTGCACTGTGTGAATGAAGGAAAAGAAACACGTTCAAATTGTTCCCAGTGAAATGTCTGTCAGTATCTTGTATTATACTGGGAGCAAACTGTTCAATTTGATTAAGGCTGCTTGACACTGGACAATTTCTTGTCAAAAGATACGTGTTTTACCACGGTAACCATCAGTCAGTTGGTTTTCATGGCTTACGTTTGTAACCACAGTAGAAAATCTAGAGGAAGAACCTTGCTGACAGTCATCAACAGCTGTGGCCGCCATGATGATAGTTCAAGTAATGTCAGCAAAAGCCGGGCTGTTTTTTTAATTTGCCTTACATCACCGAGGTCAGGACGCCCAGCCGACCTTTGGCACTCGAGGCGGTCAGCCGAGCACATCCAAATGATTAGAAAAGAAAAGCCCAACACTGCAGGGACACATGGGCCTGCATGTCACACAGCTACAGCTGGTCTTCGCACTTCATTAACTCACGCAGTAGCCCAGAGCTTGCTGTTCCAACTACATCTCCCAGCATCCTTTAGGCTTTAGCGCTGATAAAAGCCTGTCCTTGATGTGGAAGAGGATACGCATGGATTACCAAGTGACAAAAGAATCTAGACTGTTGCAGAGGATCCTCAACCTTTAATGTGTACCACAAAATATAACTTAACTTTTCTCCAAGTGATTATTCTTGAGCAACAAAGCAGCAGGTGTACAACACGTGATTGTCACTACACTATAGGTTTTACAGTATGATCTTCAAGTCCCACAGTCCAGTTATCTCCCACACTAGATTAAGATAAACATTAATTCAAAACACAAACTGAGAGAAAGTGTGAGAGCTCAGGCCATAAGAGCTCTGTATTTCACAGGAAGTCAAAGAAGTATTTGCATCAAAACATAAAAAACGCCTCCAGACTGGACTGCTTTTTTTCTTTCATAGCCCTTTGACGAGTGCATTAAAGTGAAAAGAGGCAAGAGTGGCTCTCCCCTGGGAAATACTTGAAATCAAGTTTGAGCGACTTGTCAGCGTGCCACGGATTGGTTACAGTAGCTGATACACTCATGGGCTGACAGCATCTAAACTGCCTGAACAGACAAAACAACATCTTAGTCGGTGTTTGTGTTTTGGTAAGGAGCCTTTAGAGAAAGAGAAAAATTCAAGCTGAACATGTTTTTCAAGGAGGTGATATAGCGTGCGGTAGACCATTTAAAAAAATAATTGTACACAAAGTGCTGGGGAAATGTGCAACTTCTGAAATCAGGGAACAGATTTTCACTTGTAAATGATATCTCTGTCTATGTTTGTGTGGCTGCGCTCCTATTTAAAGATATATGAATGCGACTATGTTTTCGCAACAAAACAAAACAGCACCCCCCTTTTCTTTTTTGCCTGGCAGGCCGATGGGCTACAAATAGAGATCTAGTCAGAGTGGATCTGGCTGGCTGTGGTGTGGAGGCAGAGGATCACATTGTTAGCTAACTGCTACTGAGAGACGGACAGGCAGAAAGAAACAGAGACAAAAGTGGAAAAAAAGATGAGAACAGGAATGGGAAAAATTAAGAAGTCAGAGTGGAGAGGATTTGGGCAGTTGGAGAGAGTATGGTAGAAGTACTTTTGAATTCCAGTTGTTACTGTAAGTTTAAAAAAAATGCTTAGTTTTACATGAAAGTAAATGCTTATCATTGAAGTTAAAAGCTCTGCATTTACAAATCTCAGGTAAATGTCATTCAAAAATACCTAAAGATCAAATGTAAAACTCATTATGCAGAAAAACTGCACGTTTCAGGTTGATATTATATAATAACTTGGTTATTGATACGAGATGGTGATTATTGTGGCATAAACAGCATTTTATTTTATTGTCGCTTGCTTGAGGGTGGGAGCTGTATGGGTCAACATGATCATATTATATTAAAATTTTATAAGAAATCCTGTACAAGCGTTGGACGCAAGAAGAACAAGTATTTAAGTCCTGCAATTCAGGTACATGTATTTGTACTTACTTTGTGCTGATTGGAACTTTATAAAATTTAGTATTGGAGGGATTGGAGAGCTTTAATATTTGAGGCTGCAGTAGGAAAGGAAAGGAAGAGTGACTACAGAGTGGCAGATAGCAATTATGGGGGAAAAGCAGCGCAGGATCCAGAGGGATGAAGGCAACATTGACTGGAGGGGTAGAGTGGACAGATGGGAGAGGAGAGAAAAACGTAGTTGAGAAAAGCAGCAGAGAAAGAGGAGGGTGGTTAAAGCTAAAAAACAGGGAAACTGAGGTGCACTGGAAAGGGATGAGGGGTAAGAGATAAAAAAATTAGTAATATTTACTCTCTGTATAAATCCTTATCTTGTATCTCTTACCCTCCCTAAATCTCGTCTTTCAACTTTCTTTATATTGCTCTTTTTGTTGCTACTTGTTGTCTAGTATCTCTAATTTTTCTTATTCTTTACTGTTTACATTTTTTTTTATTATTATATCTTTACTTTTTGTATACTCATTTTCCACTTGTGTTTTGATATTATTTTCCCTCTCTTTTGTGTGTTATTATGGCTTTTCTTCTGGTTTATTTGTGAGTTTTGTTATTGATTTATTGCTCTCAAGATAAATTACGGTTGTTGTTGCTAATTTTTCCTACTGTATATTCTGTGCGTGTAAGATTTTGTATATTACAGATTTATTTTATGTTCTTTTATTTTTATATTCCTATTCTGCTTCATCTTTTTTTTATATATTGAATGTACATACTTCTTGTTTGGACACTGTTGTGAGATAATATAAAAGATTCCAGCTGCATATCGTGCCCAAGAAACATGAAGAATATGTGTTTTTGTTAAAGGGCGTCGTCGGCGTGTGTGTTTGTGAGCTGGATGATGTGATGTGTAATGAGAAACGGCGCGATGTGGAGAGACCGAGAAAAGTGTGTCGCAAAGAAATGACGTGTGTGAGTGGAAAATCTTTTCAGGTTTACGTTAACTGATGGTGTAAAGCCAAACCTATGTGAAACGGCACTATTATCGGTTAAACAACGTGATTTTCTTATTGCCATTTATGTTATGTCAATTTTTATTTATTTTATTATATAAACACACAACTTAACCAAAGATGACAGGAACTGTTGGGAGAAACATTATTAAATAAATCAACCAGAAACAAAATAGGATATAAACGTACAACTTGAAACATTAAAACTAGGACAGTAAATGGCCAATCTGCGGGCAGTAAATAAGAACAACATAAACCGAATTGGAAGAAGGCAACTAAAACCAGAAAGAGGAA